AATAGGTAGTATGATGAACAACACCAGCACCATCTTATAATAATGATAATTAATAACAGTCCTCTGTTGTATAAAAAAAATTTACTACGCAGCATCATAAGTATGAATAAACCTGATATGAATTTATTCATTGAAACCAAACGTATGGAATCTATCTACAGCCAGCCGCTTTCTATCTAACGTTACAAACCAATCAGAAGTGATCGAAAGCAAGGCAGACGAAGGAGGTGGATAAATTACTACTCACAGAAACTAATTGCTTGTGAATTAACTCTTACTTTCATATATCCCACCAATGATTGAGCCCGGTAACTCATGTCCTTTCGTACGAAGCAAACTAATGTATGCAGGATATATAGATCACTCTTGCTCAGCCTCAATGAAGAAAAACAATCAGTTGACATACACCATTAAATATCGAAACGTAGTTCGTTTGATTAAGTAATATGTAGGGAGTTAAATCTATCAAATATATATTTGTCAAACTAAGTTACTAACGAAAAATAAACAGAGTTAAATACCTCACTCATCACTGGTGGGTGGGCGCGACATATTCTCGTTGCTAGCAAGCAAGAGAAAAATAAAATATACCTTTTACCTCACGTACCTCCCAGACAGGTACGGATGTAATTGACTGACTGTCTGGATGGAATCAATAATTAGTTAGATGGACGAATATAGCTAGGTTGTCGCACGCAAGGTATGCGGTGGGTCCACACATACTGCCTAATGAATATTGGGTAGATTTCTTCGCTCTGCTTAGGGACCGACATATGGACCGTTCCTTTCTTTCGTTCGATATAAAGGGAAGCTATCATATATTTTGTGACTATGTAACTATATGCATAATGAAACATGCCTGCCGTGTGTGTAAAGAGACACTCCTTAGTAAGCTCAAACAAAAACGAAAAGCAAGAAATAAAAGTGATTGCTCACACATATTTACGTACTTACTGCTTCAGTTATTAATGACACTCCAACGCCCTACAAAATAGACGGACAGACAACAAAACACGCGTCTCATGCATGCAGGAAAAAAGACAGGCAATAAAAATAAAACAAGTTAACTGATGCCCGCACTACTGAGTAAATAAATAACTAAGCAAACCTACCCACCCACATCATAATGTCAGAACGCGAATGCAATGAATTCACTACCCCAATGGCAGAAGACATTAACTTCAACTCTACTAGATTATATACTCTTGTAAAAGAAAACCAGGCATTGTACACCTCATCTCACTTCTCTGAAGTGAATACAGCGAACGAACTTAGTGTATCTACGATACAACGAAAGATTACATGACCACGACTATACTACACTCCTGGCCCCGACCCGATCTGATCTGCTTTGATCTAACACAATAGAGTTGATATTACTCTTATATTATATAATTTATCATTTTTTTTTCAGTCCAGTCAACTAAACGAACCTTAGGAAACGAAAACGGTAATACTGCGACATAAGTTCAGGTCGAAAATAAAAATGAGGTACTACAGTACCATCTCTCATATAACCAATCCATTACGCAAGCTATAGTGAATTGTAAAGGTAAAGTACATTTCGTTTCTAATATCACATCAAACTAACATCTTCACAGCATAGCATTCTGAAGTCCCGCTCCTGTGGTATCTGCCAAGTCGATTTGCCTTACCAAATCACTGAAGCGAATGAATTAGGTTTTGCGTGCCTTGTCATCATAATAGAAATGACAATGGAATTGCACAGAGTACCATGCCAAAGGAAACCATATCAATTAAGTACAATGTTATGAATCCGATTCACTCTAGGATTCGATCCTATCTTATATGATAGTCGCGAGTTGTGGATGTCAATTGTAACATCTCATCACCTCATCTCGTCACCAGTGCAGTGGAACAGGGGCAGGGTATTATGTTAGGTACTTTATACTCTACATTAAAGAAATCGTCTCTGTTATACTATATAAGTTGTGTAATCTGATTGCTGATGAGATGAATGTAATTTACACGATACCAGACTTTAATCGTACCGCTGCACTTGACTATATCATAAGCGAATTGAAAGCCAATGAGAGATGGGATGGGATGTGGCAGAGGACATTTGTAATATCAAATTGAAGTATACTAGCGTATGGAATTCATATAAGATAATAAGAGTACAGGTTACATGAAAAAGACAATTCAATCACACAGGCCAGTCTTGACTTAAGTTAAAGATAATATAGTTCGTTTAACTTAAGCTAACATAACAATCAAATCGTAAAAAGGAATAGGCAGTGCGTTCGGCTCGGATGACATCTCCTCTCCTTAAAAGAAACCAAACCAAATTCATTCCAAATCAAAATATTGCCTTGGCTTTGATTGTACTGTGTTACGTTTAGTTAATTGAAAAAAGGAGAGTTGAGTTGAATAGCAAACTTAAAACCCGACTTGACTGAACGCATAGTATACTTTGCTACCAATCCATTCTTTCGATACAAGAAAAGGAAGATGAATCGTGTATCTCTGCTGTTTCGATACATGGAATTCAATCTAATCTTTCTCCACTAAATCACGTCGTGGAATGCAAATGATAGGATCGAACAAATGCACTTTCCGGTAAACAAAATTTCTGTACTGCAATATAATATATGAAAATTATATTTAACTTAACTCAAGTCCAGACCAAGCAGAAGATTATATCCTATTATGTTAGGTACCATACAGTATCAGATGACGTAACAGATTTGACATTATTGTATGTTATATTAAATGAAATGAATTTATCTGTCTACTGAAAGAGTAAAATGAATCGAAAAAATAAAACTTGATGTAGTAAAGCAAAATGGAAAAGAGCCGGATCAGGTAATATTCCGGAGCAGATCAACTCGAATGGAACGGAAAAAAAATACTCATCTAAGATAAGATGATATCAAACCCATCGTATGCTATTCTATTATTCTACCTTCTCTGCTGTTTTGATTCAATGCATTTTAATTCAAATCAAATCTACTCTGTTTTAAATCAAAAACAGAACTAAATTATTGAGTGGTGTCACGTACTAGATTAGTTTCTATCCCCTCCCAATGAATTAATTGTTATATTATTCTGCTATTCCATTCACTACACTTGGTCTGCAGTGCTAATCATACCCCTCCCCTTCTTTAGTGAACATTACAGTAAAATAAAACATAACTTCATTATAGCATAAGCAGATTCCATATCTGACTTTTGCTTTTGAAATACACGAACAGTAAACTGATTCCGGCTGCCAGGGCACAGCAATTGATCTTATGCGTAGCACGAGCCAGATCCACGTCGATGTCGATGCTTAACTGCCCCTTTCCAAAATTAAAAATATAGATTTAACATTAATCTTATTTTCTACATGTATACGTATTCCTATGTTAAGCACTATTAGGATGAGCTTCAGTTGCGACGGATACTGATTTTCAGATTAAATAAAACTACCTATGCAAAGTCAATGACAATCAACTGCCAGTCGCTGTAAAATGAAAATGAGCAGTATGATCAGCATGACCATCACGGATGAGGCTTATGCGCTAATGCTCAATATATAAGTGCAAAACTAAAAAGAAAAAGAACAAGACTTAACAGGAAAAGGCTAATGCGCAACTATTACAATCCCGCACGCGGACACGTACAGCAATGGAATGCAAACGCAAACGTAAGATGGAAAAGCAAGAACTGAAGCAGGACCACGTGTGATGGGGACACGAGCAGTAGTAATACTTATACTTGAACGCGGATTCAATCTGCATATGCTAATGTTCCTGGTTCTTGAATTTTAATTACGATAATAACCTGACAATTACAATAACATCAGTTTCAGATTTGATCCATTGTAAAAAGCGGGAACAAATTGATTACTTTTTGAGATCCTGTTGTACACATTGACCAGACCACATAGTTGGACTGCACCTCCAATCACCGAGGAATAAAATATTTATTTTTTCTATTTAAATATATATCAATTGCCTTAGATTTGGCGTACTGCTGAATAGGCTTAAGTGTAAATCACTCTGTGATGAAGTTGCCCAATGAACGAAACAGCAACTTCAGCATAAAGCACAGCATCTTTTGCTAAGGCTTTTCGTAATTGGCTTCCTCTCAGATGTTTCAACTAAACAAACACGATGTAACAAGACTAGCTGGTCAGTGGACGAATTCAAGCGCCCTAAACTTGTGGCTGAGAGTCCTTTGCTGTGAGTCTTCTAAACAAGAGCGAGTGAATTTTCTAAATTCTGGTCACGTTCGTTATGGTCCTAGTATGGCTAACGAAACAGTAAACTATGAAGGTTGTCAGGGACAGAATCTCATCCATACTGGCTCAATAAAACAAACAAATGGAGGTTGGAATCAGTACAGCGCGGTCAATATTTCCATTTTCTGGTCAGACTTCGACAACCTACTCTCATGGTCCCGTATTATAAAAGACTGGGTTACAGGGAATAACAGTATGCATCATGACACAATACTTATACGTGACCTTCTGCTCTCACGCGCAGTGTAAACGCCCGGGAAGCTAGATCGGTCCCTTGAAGCACGACATCCCGTAATTAGCCACGTAGTCCGAGAACATCATAAGTTAACATGGGCAGCTCATCAGTGTATCTATAACCTATATGCATGGAATTTATATACAAAATTCCATCTTTCTGTGGTCTCTAAAACCGGATGTTAGTGGAACGACTATAGGAAGACTAACACGCTTAGAGCAGCATGTTACGCAAGCATACTCAAGTGCATAAAACATCATATATTTATTTGTGAAAATACAGAATCCCTGTATATGGTCCTCCAGCTGACCTCATCTTGGGTAGCAGCGAAGAACCCAAGTTCTCACAGGCTTTCTCTAACAACGGTGGTCTTCACAATCCGTGCGGACTGACCGTACGTCATTAGTTTACTTTGCTCAAATGCCAGTGAAGTTTGAGCGAATCGGTTTTGATAAGGTGTGGTACATAAAATGATATATAAATTACGCATAAAGATGAGGGTCTTGAAAATGAACTCACGTCCGGGACGGACGATCACAACCACGGGCTCGGAAGGTGGTCCTTCTCCTTTCCCATTGACTGCACTGACACGGATGAAGTAGGTTGCGTTTACGGTCAGATGCGAAAGTATGTGCACATGAGTAGGTCTATGTCGGCCACTCGTAACGGACATGCTGCTTGACTGCGAGGCCAAGGAGGGTGCTCGATTGGAATCCATATCCACAATACTGGTGTCCCAAAAGGCCACTTCCAGATTTGGTCTATCTGTATATAGGATACGATACGCCTATAATGACAAACGAAGCAAAGAGCAAGACAAGAAAATGCAGTACTGCACTAGTTGAGGGAAAAGCAACAGCCCTTTCATTACCGTGCGATGCCATATATTTAAATACCTTGTGAGTTATGCCTCAGTGGCAACGACCGTTCAGATGGGAATATTACTACCATAACTTGGACGACTTTTACCAAAAGTGGTTCGGATTTTTGTCTGAGTCACATCATCTGATATGGAGTATATTTTGCTGAATGTGAGCAAAACTCCTTATGATAATCTGTACAACGCCCCCAAACATCTAAATTTTTAAGACTAACTTGTCTTACCATAGGCACTGTTCTCTGCGAACATCAAATTAGGTCTTAGCGCAGAGATTAAAAACAACATTTGACCTATATTCATTAGCACGTCGTGTACTTTCAAGCAAGTGACATCCAAAGGTAATTGATGAAGTACGTCGTTACACCCACTCATAAACGGACTATATAGGCAACCTCAATGGGCACAACGCACAACTGATTGACCGGAAATCTGACACGCAATTCTCCATCCCCATTTGCAGTACTTTGTCATCGTTCACAAACTGTAAGCGGACTTGGCCTCGACTCACAGTCATCACGCATGAGCACGCGGTAATACCCATTGTTGATGCATATAATTATCTGAACAATATTATCTTTCTAAGTAGTGCAGAAAAACCTCAGCTATTACTACTTGTCTCAGCCTAAAGCAGCAAGCCTATTTTTCTCAGATGCAGGGCTTGCTATTATGAGCTCAAGTGTGATATTCTTTGGCTTATGCTCCCACAACTGCTCACATGGCGAACCATTGTTGATCCAGTACATCAGTGCATCATGTAATGATGCAACACTTTCATTTCTCCGCCCTGATAATTGGCGACTAATCGTAGATGCCTCTGTTATCATCCCGCATTTCGTCGTATGATAACACACTTATTTAATTTGTCACGTCACTTGTCGACCCAAAGTAAGTCACAGACACTTTAGGCATACGGCTCCTTGAGTGGCCTTTGAGCATCTTTGTCATTGTAATTTTTCATTTTGTAGTTATATGGTTTTGACTAGTCCCATCATTCGTTGCGTCCGCAGTGATAGTTTAAGTGCAGAGGAAATTCACGCAATGGTTTGTATAACGACTTTGTTACTTTGTTTAATTGTCCAAGAGGCTATCAGGCTACAAAGCACAAACCATCATCCACGCGCTTCGCCCTATTGGGTCTCGTCATTGGTGCGCATCGTTTCGTCCCCTACTAGAGATTGAACCAGTGACCGCTAGTAGCTGACGCCACTTAGCCAGCAGCCTAAACCACTGAGGCAAGAAGGACGGCGTGTGAGCTACAACAGAAATGCCCCTACGCATGAGTAATACTGCAAATTTGCTTGTATTAGTGAACATAGCAGTCGATTGACAGTGTTTAGCAATAATTCAGGGTGGTGAACAGCAGCTTCCTTTGCGCGATAAGGGAACTTTCACCCAGAGACTGCAGTAGTTTACTAATTGGTTCGAACCTGACTTGATTTGCGTGGCGTGATTATCGCACAAATCCTGCTCGGTCACTCTTTATCGATTTGCGGAGACAATTTTGGTCGCGTAGTCAAGCTCTTATGTTCGTTCGATCAAACTGAATGAGTGCTATCCAGAACTACCTATCGATTAGAGCTAAGATGAACGGTTCGTTATTCCTGGTCCTTTTGCTATTTTGGCACTTTCCCTGAGTATGCACAGATACCAAACTTGATTATCACGGAGTCCTACAAGGCTACTTCTCGTCTCATCAGCTGGATCACGCTGAGGGCACTTCAACAACTTACATTCGTGCAAATCCGTAGCTCTGCAAGGTATATATCGGAGAAAAGCACCACTTATCCTACGTTTATCACTGCACTGCCTGCAACCAGCCTTGGACTTTCATTGATATCCACCCTAATCTCGGGTCATCGTAATCCGGTCGCGCAAGTCTGCGCGTCACATATCTCTACTCACCAATAGCCCATCGTTCCGTCCACATCGGACTGGTGGCTGGACCCAACACGTGACCTGCGAAACGCTCACATGACTAACACGAAGGAACTTGGGTCGGTAAGTTCCTACTGTTAGACGCATCAAGCCAACTCATACTAACCTAATCAGTAGCCGTTCTAGAATCTTTAGACCCCAACAAGCTGTACACTTATTGCAAACAACTGCTACATCAAGAAAAATGAATGCCCCCTCGACTAGAAAAAGTAACAGGAAGCCGCAGCCAAACACGTTGCAAATACCTCCAAGATACTTCCTGATTTGCCCAAACGAATTAACCTCCTCGGGGAAGAAATAAATTCATTAAAAAACAAAAGTTATTTCAGCACTAACTACAATCAAGTTTTATCCTTCTGTGAACTAATCAATGACTCGGCTAACGTTAATTTGGATAGATTATGTACGGACAGTTCTTTCTTATCGCTTATCACCTCTGAACCCCAGGAACGCGTGCGCAGATCAAAAATGTGACTATATTCAATATACTGGAGAGACTGCGCAGTGAAAAAATTAAAACCGCCCTCCTCACCGCCAGAACATGAATCGGTTTTACTGCGTTTGTATAAGACTTAGGAAAAATGAAAGAATGATGCCGTGTCCGGTTTTATGGAAGTTCTCCGATGAATCAACTGCTACAACTTTTCTGAGATACAAAGGGCTGGTTACTGCAAGAACCGAAGTCAAAATCGTAGACCAAACACTGCTAGAAAGACGTCTAGCTTCTAAAGAAAAGCATCCAACGGTGTTAACTCACTATGCACAGTGAAGTAGACCTTGATAGAACACCGGCAGAATCCCTGAGAGATGCTCCACGTACTAAAACCATTACCTTTGTGGCTCAGACACTGAACAGCACTACACCTGCTAAACGTCCGAATAAAATGAAACAACGGCAACAAGTAAAGCTCACTGAGATAACAACCGAAACCAACCCCATCTCGGCTGCTCCATCTACCAGTAACATGCGCATAAAAGATGCTGTGTGTACAACACCTGTATCAGCTGAACAACAGAACCATAGAGCGAAATTCTCAATTAGGCCTGTGAGAAACAAGGAAACATGTCACAGGCAATTTAAAACTAAATGCACCACCTCAAATCAAAGTGATCGCTATAAAGCAGGGAATGTCTCTCCATTAACACGACATGATAACATCCAATGACCACCGTCTCCGCCACAACATATTTCAGAGCGTCGGTATGACTCGCTAAATCATTCCCGAAGTAAATGATTTCGTGAGTCAACTAGTTACACTAAACCTGGCTATATGATCAATGGTGGAAACTTGGCTGAACACACATCCCACTACTTTCCCCGAACACAAATTGTCAGCACATTAACAATTGTGGAACTGCAGCCAGTAACCTAAATTCGGAACTTCTTAGGGCATTGTCTAATCCGCACAATAGCATCGCTCAGCTGCTCCCACAACAACTAGCTATGCCCCGCCGTTAATCCCTGTCATGGAAATCCTACAAAATCCACTTTTAGTACAACAAATCCCCCAAGCTTACCCCCGATCACTGCGATTTCCATCACTAGACCCCATGAATCAACAGATGATCTCTGTACTAGAACATCTTCGTTGGAGTCAATAAAACCCAGAAATCTCCTAATCACGAATGGCACATTGTGGCACACGACCAATAACAATGCTAGCAAACAGTCCTTCCTAACCCTCTCTACAGCATACATTTCCGTATATTCTCTAAATACCGCCGTTATAATCATTCGTTCCCTACTACGTGAATTTCTTCTTCTTGCAAGTTTTGTCTGTCTTAATACTCACCATTTTGCTTTCATCACTAAAACATGGTGCAACTCAGACATAAGTGACCCTCAGCTTCAAATTATTGGCTAACAACTGATCCGAAATGATCGTCTGAGCAAACGAGTTGGACGCGCCATCTACATTCGAAATGTTATCATTATTTCTAAGATACGTTGTGGTTAGCAATCCCTTCCAGTGCCCTACTATTGCGTTGCATCTATAGATCTCCTAGAGCTACCTGTCACCATAGTGAACAACCAGTTGATGCTATCACGCTGCCTCAAATATTTCCAACAACATAAGTTTGTCTGTTGAGATTTCGAATTACCGCATATGTACTGGACGACACGCACAATTAAAGTGTCAGGGAGCCTCATGGGAATAATTCATAGCATTCAGATCATTGGTTGGACTCAACAATCAGCCTACAAGAAGAGCCAACACATTAGGTCTGATATTTGCCATGGGCAATTGGTGAGCGCTCATCATTACTGACAGCCCACTAATGGGCTGCGACAACAAGACAGTACTATGTAGCATAAATATCAAATAGCAAACAAAGTACGAGTGACTGACAAGCCTAATCGTTGCATACATCTAACTGACTGGAACATATTTGACAACCTCCTCAGTACCCTGGGTTGGGACATATTCTTCTTAACACACAATCCAACCTTAGCAATGTACGAATTTATAAACAATCTTAACACATGTGCTGACCTATTAGCACCGATACAGTGGAACAACCAACATAACAGTAGTAGTCAAAGCAAGCCCTGCTTCAAAATTACCACAAAATTCAAGAAACTCAAATCCCAATATCGCAAAAACAAGAACATTACAACATTACCGCCAATTCATGAAATTCTACTGAAACTAAGACATCAGACATTGCAAGCGAAAATCACCGAAAAAAGCAATGCGCTTTAAATTTACAAGATACAAAGCTTGATGCAACTTCTCAACAGGAGGAATACAAAGCAGAAGAGTTAAATCTAAAGTCTGCCACTAGAAGGTGGCTCAACAACTGATGACGTTAACCAAATTGTGAATCATTGAACTCTTTTTATGCAGCGTCATTCAACACAGGTATCAGTATGTCGTATCCACTTCTAAACCAGAAGGCGGTTGAAGAGTTCTCGATTATTCCTTTGAGCCTGAGTGAGGTTCAAACGAGTATACTCTCCATAAAAGCGTCATTGCAGCCAGTACCCAATGGTATTCCTCCAGCTGTCATCAAACATGGAGGCAAAAACATTTCTCTACTGACGTTGAAGGTCTTCATATTATCCTTGATCTCTAGATATTTCCCTCCACACTTGAAACACCCGATAATAGCACCATAACACGAAGGTGCCTCCCGATTTACGATGTTGAATTATCGCCCTATAAATAAGACTGCAGCAGCCTCAAAGGCACTGGGGCGAATTGGAAAGAATGGACTTGTTAAATTCTTAACAAGATTAGACCTGCTAAACAAAGCACAACAAGGCTTTCTCATGAAGCGGTCCTGTGTAACATGTCAAATACAGTTCTTCGACCAGGTAACATCGGTTGCTGACAGTTGCACGGCAGTTGTTGTCATTCTACTGGACATGCAGAAGGCCTTCGATGGTGTTTGCTGTCCGTCCTACACTCTTACGGAGTCAGCAACCCATTACTGAACTGATTTAAATCCTACATAGATGATCGGACACAGCGTTGAAAGAGGCCAGCATCTTTCCTCCTCGAGAGAAGTTACAAGCGAAGTTGTCCAAGGCAGTGCCCTTGAAGCACTACTCTTACTAATGTTTATAAATCCCATATGTAATTCCATCAAACCTGGACGATTATACCTCTTTGCAGACGAGTCTGAACTCGTCTACTCATTTTCTCCCGGTAGCTTTGAGTCGGACCTTAAGAACATACATGATAACGTACATGATAACTTATCTGCGCTGGGCTCTTGGACTAAAAATTGGTCCATGGAATTCTCCGCTGAAAAATCGCAAGTGCTTGAGTATGGATGCTACATACCGGATGGCTCCCGTTACCCTAGTAGATACAAACATCCCGATCTTCACTTCAGTTAGAGAACGGAGTAATGTATACCGCAACGCTGAACTTTTCAGAGCATGTCTCATATCTGATAGCAAAGGCAAGACAATTGAAAGCTTATTTCAATAATTCCGTTGTTCTACCTGAAGCGAGACTGGAAAAGTTTAAGATTATTGTGAGACCTATGCTGGAGTACTGCAATATTATCCATAGCCACTTGCGTAGAAAGGATCGAATAGCTTTAGAAAGCATTCAGAGTTCTTTTAAGAAACTTCGTAATGGTCAATCCAACACACTGAACTAGGAGGACCACTGTCGCTGCCCTAAACTAGACCCTCTATGGTTGCGCCGCCTGAGAGATAAACTAATTCTCTTTTACATCGGAATAGACAGATTGCAAAATTGCTCAACCTATCCCACAAGAAATAAGGGTTACTCCTTACCCGTAAAATGGGGAACTTAAGGATCCTCTCCAACTTCTTCCTGATAAAGTATACTCACATATGGAACAAGCTACCATTGAAAGTACGAGCAACTGAAAAGCTAAGCAAATTTAAACGGAACGCATAAGCTTTTCTCAACATGCAGAACATAATGAAAACATTAGGCCTACAAATGTCTACAGATGTTTTACTTTCATCAGATCCAACCAGTATATGACCAATAATGCAAGTTCACCACACTCCAGAATACATTAACTATATGCTGAAAATGCCACCTTTGAAGTCCAAATTATAGGTGGAAAAACAAAAAGTGTATAGCTTGCTTTCTCACTCCTTCGTATATTGTAAATATTCTACTTTTCTATGGCACGTGGATAACTTACATCACCTAGTGTGCATTGAAGGAGAAAAAACTCATTAAAGCTACCTGTTATTCTAAATTTTTGCAATAGTTTATCAAACCCAATCATATGGCATCCCACAATGTCGCGAGACATGCTACTTCATTGATATTTCTACCCCCTAATCTAACTAATTCATCTTATTCTCCTGTCATTCTGTTGGACACGAATAGGCCGAACACCGGATGTGATGGTTCGAATCTTCTAAGCAACATGTATACCTACGCCAAAAGACCCAATGGTGAATATAAAAGCGTGCGGAACTTAAAAAAACAGTCCAATTTGAATTGCTGAACTCACTCAATGGCATATGACATCAACCGGTGATCTCGGTCATCATACACACATAAATACTGTGAATGAAGAAATGGCTTACTGATTTGAGTAACTAGCTCACCAGATAAAAATGTATTGCCCAAATGATAAATAAATTAGGTATTGGCCAGCATGCATTTAAACCACACCGATACATGACAAGATGGGGCGTTGAGATGTGGGTGAAACCTCTCGAGAGACCACCCCGCATGGACGCGGGTCCCCGGGGGACGGTTCCATGAATGACAGTATTAGTTCACTTGTTTTTTCTTACCCTTCTACATTCTCCACTGAATCTGTTATGCTTCTGGTTCCTAGTTACTTCACCTCTACCGTTCTACTGTCTTACAGATTTCTCATTAACCATAGCCTCACTATTACTTGTGGTACATTCCCTCTATAAATCTACACCAAGGATCAGATAATTATTGCACACTTTCCTATTCACCCTGTCTTTGGAATATTCTACAAGGCTACGAGCCACTAATAAGTATCGAATGCAGTGAATAGGTGCTTATTTCTTTGTCTAACTATCCGTTTAATTCTCTATTTTCAACATTAGCTTTACCGTGCATAGCTACGCACGGCATAAATATCCCCCTACAAGTGAACGTTGAAAGGAATGAAACTACGCTCACCCGGCATCGCAGACATCCGGCAGCCCAAAACACAGCGTGATTTGTTCAACTCTATAATTAGACCAATGAATGTCTAGACACTACGCTATGCCTTAACTCCTTACGATGTGAATACTGTCTTCATTATTCTGATAAAGCAACGAGATTGATCATCCACTGGGGTTAATTTAAAATGATATTTTGCTTATTTTCGCAGATCCCTAACTTGTTACTCACAAATTGCTCCAACTGTATTACTCCAATCTATTAAGTAAGGTTGTGTAGTAGGCATCTGCTTTTGATGGGTGAATCTAACTGTTTCATCCTTTTCCTAACACCTTCCCCCCGCCTCCAGCATGGTACTAACAAGTTGCACAGAAAAAACCAAAAGTGAATACCCGCGAACTGGTCGCATACGACGAAAAAGTCCCAAATGAACATTTTCGAAAAATAATATCTATTTCGACCCTGTAAATACCCAAACAATTAACAGCATCGCATGCCTAAGCATGTTACGATGTGAATGCCATCCGTCGCCTTTTGGGCTCAATTTCTCGATAGCATGAGAAATATACCTTGTTATAATTAAGCAGAGCAATTCAAACTGCAAATTGTAGGCAAGTAAAAAGGGATAAAATAATTAACAACGGACCGTTGATCTTAATTGGTGTTACTCGGCCGCCCACCGCAGATGGATTATTGTAAGACAGAAAATCACATATGGTCACACACTTTAGGAAAAAGTCATCTCATGTCGCCGTCAAGGAGATATGTTACTCAAAAAGCAAACATTAGTTGAGCACTGATGTTTAGGGTTATGAAGCGTTTTCTGGGTACATGTGTATCTATATATATCTGGTAGTCTTAAATAATTCACCGAGCCAGGAATCAGTTTTATGCAACTGTCTTTTGAATACACTTTTCACTTCTTATTCTCGGCACTCATACAAACCATTGTAAAGCAAGCTATAAACTGCAATCATGATACGGCAAAAGCGTCAGCGCATTTACACATTACCATCCCCCAGTTGCAGGGAAATAATCGCCACGAATGTTAAGCTTGAGGTTTTATTTACATTGATATTTCACTAGAAGCAGTATTTTATCCATTTGCATAGCTACATGAGTTTATGGGTCAGCAATACTTGCGAAATAATGATATTTAAATTCATGAAATAACTAGTATTCCGATTTTCCACTTTTCGATAAACTTTAATCGAAGTTCTTTTCTGGTGTTACAAATCCCGTGTGTTAAGTGGAAAAATTAGCAATTATGTGATCAGAATTCTTTTTCTCTCCGGATAGCTGAAAACAGTTAATTTGATCCAACTTCGGCGGAAAACCACAGAATTAAAGCAAGATGAAAGGAACCTGATGTGTATCTTGTGGCGATCATCTGCCCCATTTAATTAAGTCGGTGAAATGCCGGATACTAAGATAAGCAGTAACCGTGGCATTTTTAACCTAATTGGCACTGGCATAAGGTGGCACTTGACCAAAATTAATACGGCATAGTAGTTCGGTAGGAAGTATGATATTGTCCGTTCGCTTGGATGGGTCCACATCTTAATTTATGAAAACAAAAGTTAGACTAGCTTTCTAAATGTGATCAATTGCGTAGCAGTTTGTTTCGCTTGAAGCATATCGGATGCGCCGGCTAACACGAGAGTATAGATATATTTGCGACTCACTCTTATGCGCCCGTTCGGATCGGCTGGAGGATTCCAGTAAACGGTTACCGCAGCATTTGAAATTGCCTCAGCATGGACTTCGGTCGGTGGACTTGTAGGAGCTATATGCCGTATAAACGTGAAGAGAAGCAATTGTAGATTTGATGCTAAACATGTCATTTTAACAAACCAATGAAGATACCGGTCGGAGCCATATAAGCGGATATTTCGCATTAATTTTATTTAAGAAAACAACAGCGATGAAATGGCGGATAGTCAAAGTAGCTTGGTGCGGACAAGCGGAAAATGTTACAATGCTAATTCAGACTGGATTTTCCTGACGCATTTAGATAGCGCTACTACTGGATGTGATAGATGTTGACGAATTTAGAACCATTAGTTTACTGCACAGTAATGGAGGAAATTAATGGAGTGGAGCTTCCATTTCCTTAACATTAGTGTTCGTCTATCCTCCTTGTTTTTCTAGTATGCAAGTATTGGTATCGGCGTTTGCGTGGTCTTTCTTGTCGGGATGAATGTTGCCCGTTTACCGGACATTCGAGCAATTATCAGTGGTGATCCTCTTAATGCTCATCAATCACTCATACATCTCGAGCTACACAGTTAGCAGACTTTTACCTTATGCCTACCTACAGGACACGTGAAAAGGGCTGTCAGTCGTAAGGCGCATAAGTGTCGAAGCATCATACCACGTATTGGCACTTTCCGTGAACAATAGCTTCTCACTGCAGCTTAGTCCTCAGGTTACATTCAGTGGGCTACTCAACAAATCGCTGGAAAATACCCAGCAGCCCTTTGTGACGTGTAAGAATAAAAGCAGTTCTGACACTTGGGAAAACTAGTATTTACGCAAAATAATCTACCAGTGAGGCATGATGTGTGCCAATTTAATAACCCCAACGCAACATGGCAGCCTCGGGGATGATCTATAGAGAAAATAGAAATCAATAATTAAGGTGAAATATGTAGTTGCGAGGTAATCTGCCGTTCTGGGATATCATCAGCCATTTTTGGCTGACGGAGAGCTAGAATGCTTAAAATTATCGTGAGTTAAGTCTTCATTTCTCATAAATTGAACCAGCTTACAGAGTTTAACAATTTGGAGCAACCGGGTTATTTAGGATTACAAGTGAATTGCAGAGCTATGTTGCGAATCCTATGGAATCTGGAGATATCTCTAATGCAAGCATAGTCTTAGGCTGATGGACACGATCCAAAGATACACAGCTAAACCATCGAGAGGTAACTCTGAACTGCACCAGCCATACACCTGACGCATTAACCCAACTTCACGTGGTGCGTCGGGCGGTTCACACCCCGTGCGTGGTTAATCAGAAATGGTGAGTAGGTCATATCCGGTTAGGTTCAACGCAGTTGATTTGGGACAAGGACTGCACTCAGGAACACGCATCGCTGGAAACCTTCTCGGATGTGGCAAGACAAAGCGCACTTGTTGTGATACCCTACACTCCTGGGGTGCACTCACCGACTTCATGCGTTATAAATGTCCATGTGGGACCGGCGTTTGATGGGTCGGCCTCCGGTCCAACAGCACGTGCCCAAACAGTGTAATTTGTGTACGGCTTAAGTCGCGTTAGCGAGGCATCAATCGTCTGGAACATGTTCGACGAATCCACCAAAGCCTTTGAGAGCTCAGTCGTATCCAGAATCCGTACATATCCATCTGCGTTTTTAGTTGCGTTCTTGGGATCGTTTGGTAGGAGTAGAACGTCTGGTTGTACCTAAAATAATTGTAAAAGATATGGTGATATAAAAAACGATTTTCCACCCTGAAATAGAAAAGTTAGGTGGTAGTTGTTAAAATTAGTATTGCAGTGGGGTGAGGAGAGGAAATCCATATCTGCTAGCTATTTTAGTTAAATTCGCCTAACAAGCAGGGTATATCATCAGTGGGGATATCTATGGCAGGGTTCGTATTGCAATTTACTTAGCAATTATTTCAACTCAGACGCTAATGTTGGGTTACCACTAATGTTGTTCTGAAGAAACGCAACCATTTGCATGCAAATGCTAAGCAAACTTTTTGGATACCATTTACAGGATCTGATGGAAAAATTTCATAGAACCTTAAAATCAATATCATAGGATGCAACCATACTTATAACTGGCGTTTTGCTATGCACCTCGTTTTAACGAACGGATAGTATCCGTTGATTCACACAGTTCACAAATCGAAGTTCGCAGTAAGTAAACCGCGGTCATTCCCAAATGGCCTCAAATTCTCAAGTGTGCCTCTTCACAGTCAAGCATTCTTATCTTATGTGCATAGCGCTGCGAACGACCTACTCGTGAGTAGAACGGATTGCTCTAGATAGTTAGGATTTTCTTCACATTGGCTTCTAAATCGAATAGTCCTTTACATGCCCGAAACTCACTAGATGACCGTTTCGACATGTTGGGTCTTGCCAGTAGTGTGTATCTGTCGGACCCATTAGGATCCGAACAGATGAACACTAGTGGCAAGCACCGCCAGCCGGCAACTAAGCCATGGGGATAGCGGCGGACCTTCACGATTTACAAACTGCGCGTCATGCGCCACTACCGTGGAAGTTACCCCTGTCGCAAACGGTAGGGTTAGTCGCGACGTATACGGCCTTCATTGACTCGCCGTAATCGCACCCCAATGTTATCCTGTTCATAAACGTTAGTTCAGCTAACCCGCCCAGTCACTAATGCGACTAAGTTGTGTATTGCGCGACTCGTAATTGCCATTCAGGGTAATTTTAATGTTCGATGAGGACCATTGTAGGAAAACACAGTTGGCCAGCCACTACATATCTACGAAAAGCCGTAAATGGCCTCCTCGTCCTAATGAATGTGGCGCATCATTGTCTCCACAGAAAGTCAAGGAAAAGCATGTCGGCCAGCCTACGATGGTAGCTGGCAAGTCACGCGAACAAAACCGAAGCACAGCCAGTGGAGTAGGAATCCACTCAGCACCATGAGCACAAAGTGACGACTTTACACAGGCAGATTGAAGAAGGGGTAATTGGATTTTAGCGTTATGAGTCAAGCACGATCTTGGTCCAAGCCAAGGGAGTTTTCCGCATACGGAACTGATTCAAAGCGGATGACGCATCGAGCGATGAAAGCAAATGGGCCGAGCGAGCGTAACGGACAGAGCCGGAAGATGGAAAGGCAATGAGCACAGCGGACACAATTATAGTTGCTCATGTTTGCAAGGGCAGAATGAACCGACCGAACGGCGTTGGGGATATCGTGAAAAAATCGCAACTTTGTTCCGGTCCAGATATGAGTGGTCCAAACAGCTGCCAATGAACGATGAGTGCCAGACATCGAACTCATGTAGATCGCCAAATAAAATCAACCATTTAAGGTTGTTTCAGCGCACAATGATGCGCAATATAAAATGGTTCTATGTTCTTTAATGACCGATTTGGATCGCTGCGCAGTCAGCCTTTTGATTTTCGGAGGGCTGTTTCGAGATCACATAGGCTAAAACGGCATTAGCTTTTCTCTTCTCTTTGGCTTCCCGGTTCATCTTTGATTTCGTGAGAGCAACCATTTTCTGTGCGTGTTTTCGCAATTCATTCAGTCAACTCAGGCTTGATCCTCCTTTGTAAGCTATGACAATTCCGTTGAGCTCGCCGCGAGGTTTAACTCAGGCGCACACGATACTCAACTCCGAATCACTAGGTGGTTGTGATGACACTGTCGAACCACCCACTAAGTCTCTGTTTTGCGTTTCAGCCCCCTGAGCCTATAATGATCCGCCTACGCCCTGGGCAATGAAGTCCTCAGAGCCCTTGACCCAACACATACTCAAATATTCTGCGCAGTATGGCGCGATCACATGATCTTGCTGGATCCGGATGCATGTGGTTACACTGATTTTCGCATATAAACCGAATTGTTTCATCATCAGTAGTATAGACTGGTTAAAGTCTCCCTATCTTCGGAGACATATCACCTACGGTCACTACACAGAGTTCGATCGGTTGCAGCTGTGGTCTATGAGCCTGTACAATAATGTGGAACATAATAATTAATTCGTCCCTATTAGTTATAGTGGTTACCATCAACATGTTGCTTCAGCGCATATCAACACTTCGTGATTTTCACATACCCGCTTCATACCACACTTCGACGTTGATAGAGCGTTAGGGGCTCAACGAGTCTAGATTGGTTAAACAGATTGGAAATTGTGTCAACGAACTGCGCTGAAACTGCACTAGTGATCAGTTTGGGACGCTACCCAACTAGCTTCTGGTGCTGGATGTGACCAATGATGTCAGGCATTTAACGACATGAACAATGAACAACAAATTTATACGGGTTAAGAAGCGTTGCTTTACAAGTCCCGTTGGATAGTTGGTGGGGATATCAAAGTAGCAATAATGATGATAAGGATAGTAAAATAGTCAGTACTTTAAAAATGAAAATAAAGACTTATCGTTTGCTTCGTTGTAGTCCTGCGATCCTCTTAGATCCACAGCATCCACAGTTAACAACAAATAATTCCATGGTAAACTCCAAGTGTAGGATGGAGACGTAGTGTTAAGTAACAAAGTGTAAGTGGATGAGTGCATCGTCCAACCGTCTTTTAAATACTGTTAGTGTCGGTGCAGAGACGACCGATTCTGGGAGAGCATTCCACGCGTGACAGACACGGATGGAAAGGAAATTTCTGCAGCACTCCAGACGACAATATTGTTCTGCGAGTCTTAATGTGTGGCCCCTCAGGTTTGTATTGCTGCTGAGTTGCAGTAAAGGGCAGCACACATGATGTGGGTCTCGCAGAATCAAGTATGCCATAATAAGATCGCCTCGTAGCCTGCGAAAGCTTCCACTGAACAATCCCAGTCGTTGCAGCCTCTCCTGGTAGGAAAGATTGCGCATTCCAATTACCTTCTTAGATGCCCGGCGTTGTGGCTGCTCCAGTGCATTAAGGTCGTGTTTCAGCCATGGATACCAGGCTTGAATTGCGTATTCGACATGGGGGCGAACATACGCACTGAGCATTTTTGGAAATATGGAACTGTTTATTTGTCAAAACGCCCGTCATAACAGCCCGACGTGTTGGTTCCCGGTCTTCGAGGCCTTTTCAGATTGTCTGGAGCAACCCAAGTCATCTTGAACCAGGACACCAAAGTCACGTTCGAGAGTTGATTGTTGCAGTACATCCGTGCCGAGTCGGTAAGAATGACTGCTCTGACGTCGGATGGAAAGCACCTTGTATTTACTGACGTTGAAATGCAATGAGTTTTGGGTTGACCATTGATACATATATCTAAGTCACTCCGAAGCACATGTTGAGCATTCGCTCGTTCCAAACAAATTATCCGTTCGTTCAGGATCTTGGCTGAGCTCCCAAACGCCACGAGTTCCAGTGCCTGCCATCTCCATCTGACGAGATCAAACAAGTTCGAGGCCGATCGTAGAATGCAGTCTCTTTGGGCGGATAGCGCCAAGTAGCAAGCTGCTTCATCATTTACGTTGTCAGTGATCGCAAAGACTATGGTCGACTTCAATGCGAATTGCGGTCCACACTGAGATTGTGTGCAACAGTCCATTCACACAAACGCGCTTCAAAATGACTCTGTCCATCCACTCTTGAAATAGGCTTGCACCCTACTGATTATCCAGAATTTCTGAATGGTTTGCGTAAAATCGAATGGATTAGTTGGTGGACGACGTTTCGCCTGTGACACAAATGATTCTTCCGGCCGAGTGGACTAGTACGAAATTGGCATGACAGTTATGTCAGACCAAGACCATAATATTACAAATGACGGAAATGGCAGAGTAATCGCCGATGGTGGCCATCTCACCTGCAGTGGATAAGCCCATGTCGTGCGAGTTAGGAGGTCACAACCCACAGACATGTGTCAGCGATTGGGTCTGGAGGCAGTTTCATGTTTGCTCTTTAACTCAGATCCATCAGCCTACGTTGTCCAGACTAGTCGGGTAGTAACCCTGACTCAATAACAATGTATCACGGAAAGGAGAATCCAGTGATAGACAATCCAGGTAGCCCAACAACGTCATTTCAATGGTTTACTGACTCAGGTGAGTTACTCCGTACTGTTACTAGATTAGTATTAAAGGATCGTTATAGATGAATGTTGGATTTGCCAGATAGTCCACTAACACATCAGTAATCATGGATTCCATGACCTAAGTCAGCAACGAGAGAGGATATACTGGGCTTTAGTTTAGATGTTCAGTACTGTGTGCATCTTCGTGAATTGGAGTGCTTTCCACTTTTGCATATAGTAGTATCAGAGAGTGAACTCTTTCGTAAAAACAAGATTTTTGTCTCCTTGTGTAATATTATCCGTTTGGTTCTCACAATCCATTCTTTATAAGAAATTCTTACTGTTCTTCTCTACTCCAGTTCCTGTTGATCAAAATTCCACCAGTATTAGGAATTGTGGGTGAACTGCAAGCGTTTTGTTGCCATCACACCAAAGTTTGTGTCCATTGCAGGTTCCTTAAGAAGAACAGTGCTTGCCTGGAGAAAATCGTTCTCATTTAATTGATAAAAGTGCGGTAGTCTGTTTCTATGAATAGATACACTATTTTAGATTTAAGGGTGTAACTGACATCGAAGCAACCAGAAGCGGTACTTGATAACAAGGCCCAGTAGGATATATTTGGCATTATTCTCACATTGTAGCTAGCTTATGCGCAGCGTGAAAGCCGTTTCCGCCAACTGAATAACTTTGATCGCCGCACGTGAGAGCGTTACAACAAAGTGGGGAAAATAGCTTCTAATTTTTTTATCATTTACTTTTGATTTCCTTTTGTGGGACTTATGGTTAGAGGAAAATCTTGTAGTTACGATGCTTTTCCACATAAAGCAAAATGAAACAGGAATGTGCTCACGTGGATCTGGTAAAGACTGAAATTATTCGACGGTGTACTTTTCATCTGTATTGTTGTTTGGTAGTAACAAGGAGGTTTAGTGAGTGCAGCTGAACTTGTGTTATTGTACCAAGTTAGGTATCTGCTATTTACAGCCAACTTGGACAAGTTATACTCTGAAATTATCGCTTTATGCGTGTACTTCTTTCATTGTATTTGTGTCAGCATTTACGTTGACCTAACTGCGAGAAATTTGTTGGACAGTGTTTCAGCGAAAATTCCACATGCTATGATCGCATATGGTCCCAAGCGGTCTATTAGCTGCATGGTTCAAAACATCCTATACTGCACCATGCATTAATCCTAACGAATCGTTTAGCATAATGAACCAACACAGCAGTGCCATTCTTCTTCATCATACGGAAACATCAGTGATTTAGTTGCTGAAGTATGATGGGCACAGCTAATTTGGCAATTAATGATGCTAGTTTTCCGTTTATTTTCTTTGTGCACACGTCTACTGTGTTTATATTTGTGATTCCCCAACTTCGGCTCATCACATACGACAAATGAATTCATACGTGTTACAAACAGTGCTACTTACGTACAAGCAACTGCATCCAACGCATAGAAGATTCGTTTCAATAGTCTCCCACCCAGTGGCGTAGCAGCTATATTTGCCGCCCAGGGCGGACGTTAAATTATCGGCCCTAGGCACAATTGTGAACAGTCCTCCAATATTTCGTTTCATATAACAACAACCAAATATCTAATTTCAGACTGCTACCGATAATGCAGACATTCCCATTTTTTTAATAATCAGAACAAATTTTACAGCTGCACTTTTCGAGCATTACTCGAGGCAATTGTATTAAGATCACTGTCATATCATCGCAAAGTTTCATCTCTATGGCAGAATTGCAAATACGTGATCCTTATCTGATTCATTGATGATGCGACGTAGTTCTTTATAAGCTTACCTTTAGAGAAAGCGTTCTCATAGCTGGCAAAGCTAATATTTTGGGTAAGAAATATGCACAGCAGATTCCCCAAGGTGAGTTTCAGTATGATGCTCAAAGTTTAGAAGGTCTATTAAGTTTGTCCTTTCCTGAAGATTTAACAAAATACAGCAATCCGGTCTTTTCCGTAGAAAATTTCCACGAGCTATTACTTCCTCATCTTCGCTAACCGGACAACCACACTTATCATTAAACAGATTTGACGGTGTAGGAAACCATATTTATTTGCAAGTTCATGAATGTGTTGAAGTCTATGGCATTTTATCAGAAAAATGTCGACGACAGATAGCATTTCCCGTTTTAACATAGCACCAAGCCAATAGATATATTAAATAACGATCCACCGTCCATTCGTATCTTTTGGCAGATTGGACGCTTCATGCTTAGACCCAATTTAACGTAAGGTTTTTCTATTCATCAATTTCAATATCTACCATTTTCTCTCTATTCTGAAGAAGGCCAAATCGTAAATTTGTAAGCATGCATAACTTTGCAGCAGATCCAGCTCTTTTGTTTAAACATAATTTGAATCCTGGATTTCTATGAGAACAGACATACGAAGGTTCAAAAACAAAATAAACGGAAACGACAATACCGAGATAAGAATTAAAGATGCATCTGAACTTGTGCTTTAATTTCTCCTTATTCTATGAAATGTTTCAGAGAACTGACGAGTTTCGTGTATTTCTGCACCACATTTACAACGCCTCTTCGACTACTCCATTTCGAATTTACACTTAATTGATACATAAACCGGTGAGTTGAATCAGGACACTCCAGCAATATTTAGATGAAAAAAGTGAGAACAGCCAGCCCATTGTAGGAAAGACCCAAAAATATGAACCGTCGCAGAAGCTTGATGTACAAAATCCAGGTTCGGGGAATGGTTTGTGCATGACACTAATGTAGTTTTTGACGTGATTTCACTGAATTTTCTCTAGACACCCGGGTCGGTAGTTGCCGTAACAGCAGCAGTGTAAAGTGCCTGTCCACGGCGTTCAGCAAACTAAATTGCATCTGTGTTCCGTTCTTTGAAAAATAGTCTGAAAATTTTCTCCGCCATTTTACAGTTGGTCTCAATGAAGCTGAGGAATGACTTCTCTACCGTCACTTCATTTTCACTCATCTGACTATTGTGAGATACAGCGGGATTCTCTTCCCATTGCGCTATAATTGCTATACCAATCCTTGACTGGTTCACTCGGCCTGACGAAGATTTTGTGTCAAAAGTGAAACCTTGCCCACAAACTATACGAACCTGTTGTTTTCAAAACTTTTGGTAATACATCGAGTAAACTTTCAAAATTAAGCAAGCATACTTAGGTTCCTTGAACTGTTCCATGATTTTCGTTTTCAGTTGCTCTGCCAAATTGCTCCCAAATTCATTTTGAAAGTGTGGCTAAAAAGAAAAGTGCCGATTTTTGTTCCTAGCTGAACTGTCACCAAACGCTCACTTAGAGCTGGCTCATAATTGGTCAACAAACGTACACATTATGGAAAAGTCCTTCTATTTTAATGATCTCCTCTGTCGTCCTTGATTTGCTCTCCGTGATCCCACTGCGTCATGTTTTGCTTGGCGAGGAACCTGACAATATACAAAGTATCCCAGCTAACACTTCACGCCAACTCTTTACCACAAATGCTAGCTCCATTTTGACAATCGCCTTGCTTGAAACTATACGGATCACTAGCTCCTTGCGGTTGAGGAATGGCTGCGCACGCGATGGACTAGATTTGCGTTAACATGCTTTTATATTTATTTTATACAAGTTTCTGAAGCCCTTATCAGTCGAAAAATATCCTGCTACCAAAGCAATACGAGGCCACTTTCGTGGGATAAAACACTATCCGTGTTCGCAATCTTTGCTCAAATTTCACAAATCCAGAAAAAGCCATTTTGTAAGCTTCTTAACCTCAGCGTTTGTATTCGTTCCAGGTAGCACCACTTATTGAATTCACGATAGACGTGCTACACAACAGTAGATCCGAACCGGAAAAGCCTAGTAAGAATTGTATCACCAGTCTTAACACGTCACCGACAAACACCCATACCATCGGTTGATGTGGGTGTAATCGTTAAAAGTGTGGTTACATTTCTAATGTTTCAAGTCCGCGCGTTTCTGCATCGGCATAATAAACATTTCCCGCTGCATCCATGCTGTTAATGTTGCATTCTGTTTTCCGGATATCAACGTTTGCATTAACATTTGCATCTTCTGTGTCAGTATGATTATCGCCCTTCGTTTTTACCAATTCAATCATGGAAGTAATTCTGGTGAATTTACGCTTGGTATTGAATACACAGCTGTGTTAAAATTGAAGCCGCCTGTCACATACCGCTAGGGGAGGACCGGCCCACCTGCTTCCGCCGCCCCCCTATGGTACGTCTCTACTCCAACCACAGTGGGAGAAGTGAGTTTTGAGCTTAGTTAAAGAGCGGATTTTTCACCCGGTTAACCTCGGCTTAAAAATAAATGAAGCTCCCAAATAATGCATAAGAAAACTAAAATTCAAATAAAATGTTTTCAAGCAAACTGAATATAAATGCGAAAATCAGTGCACTGAGATGACAAATTACTTTAGCAGATAACATTTTCTATATATCAGGCCTGAGTAGAGGTTTCGTCAAAATACGATCAAAGTCAAGGAAACTGCGACTGCATGATTGTGACTTTTGTACCCGAATTATCAACGTAAGTGATGAATGAACCCATGGAGCCGCGCAAGTTGCAGCAGCTAATAGGATAAATGCCAGCTTCCAAAACTTCGTCAGCTCAGACACGTAATAGATCCTGAGATACGACACCGTGTACGCTCACGCGATTTCGACAGCAAATTGTTTAATGGCGTGACTAATGGCTGTGGTTGATTCCCAGCTGGAAGTCAACCCAAAAATGACAGCGGGTATATGTGATAGCGAAGCGATCAGAAGACTTACAGCGTTTGTCCAACCAGCTGGTGGCTCTTCGTACAGGTTGCTCGTATTAAGCAAGCTGGCAGCTTTATGTGGCATAATCTGCAGCATTCGGTCATTGTAATATTTCGTCTCTATCCAGAATAGTAGATATTTCCAGATCGGTTGACTTGGGGTAGGAGTGAAAGCCAGGCGAGCAAACGTGGATCCCACATCCACCAGGGAAGGTTGTCCAGGAGGTTGCGGAAGGGCTGAAAGCAAAAGGACACTATGACAGGGAAGCGTAAGAGTAATGTGATGTTTAATTTGCTATATAACTGCTGGAAACGATAAATTAAACCCAATCTGTGGGTATTTATACTGTATTTGTTTTGGGCAAAACCTCTGTGGTCGACGTAATCAGTAATGCTTTCTAAATTATGGACTATGTTAATCAGACCGTAAGATTTAAGCCTATCATAGGATGAGTGGTTCAAATGCAAAAAGGAACAGAATGAGAATAATATTCCAGGACGGTGAATTTGCACAAAACTGTGTGTGCAGTCAGGTAGGCAAGAATCTACAGCTATGGAGCGATACCAATGATTTTTTGCAGACCATCAATTTAAGACAATTGTACGCAGCTGGCTAGCCGAACAACCTCCACCTGGTGCCAGCTGGGTGGTTGGGATTCACTTTGTTCCAGCAAACCGTTCGGCAGCAGTGTTCCAGAAGGTGGTTGGTTCTCTCCTGGCAAGTGTTCTCCTTATATAAAGCCACAATTGTCCCGTTTCAAAACATGGACATCAGCTATCCAAGGTGAAGAGATCATATTATCTCTACTCGTGTTGACGGCCTGACTAATATCAATCACATATACGGCGTCACATTTATGAATCCAAGCAACACGACCACACAACTAGCTAACTGCATTCTTACACACCTAATACACGGACTCCTGTGCTACTTATTAACCTCTGCAGTTTTACAATTCCAAGTCCTTGTTTTATAAGCAAGATTATACCTATAAAGGTGCATCTCGTATTTTCCGTTCCCTGAAGCAGTAAGCTGCTTCATTGGCGAATTCTGTCTACACACAAGTCATCACTGAAAGAGACGCATACTGCGCAACTGCATATTTGGCAGTCCAGCAATTTGCGCAAATATTCACAGGGCAAAATTCGTTATTCATGGATTAAATTGTCATCCGCGGGATGAAAATCTTGCCCATCATGTTCATGAAAAATATAAACAGCAACAATATCGTTGCGCGAGGTACATGTTGGTAGCAGTAAAAAGTTTGCATAGCAGAAAAGCCTGCAAGTTAAAGCAGTTTGATTAGTGATGGATTTGGGCATCACTAATTGCGGTCATTGTTTGCTTTTGTTGCCATTTTTAATTTAATTGCTGTTTTTGAATAGTGTAAAAGTTGTTTTGAACATGGTTCCCGTTAGCACAAGTGTGTCCATTCAAATGCTGCTTATTTCAAATGAAAAATTACTTTTGAGCCAAGATATGTGCATCTAAAGTCTAAGGATAAAAAGCGTAATACATTTGTCACCAAACTAATAGTTTATATACATTTAGAAATGAATTAAAAATGAAAAGCATGTTATTAGCTTTCAAAAGCTTTACGTTTCAAAACCGCAATAACCTTATTTCTAATCTTATGGTTTGTGCTGTTTCGATTTGTAACGTTTTTTGTCTGTTCCTCGTATTTCACTTGTTTTCAAACAGTTGTACTGGCTAGACAAACTCATAAGTTGTCACATGCAATAACGAGTTAGTTGGGTTCAAATAACTAGAGCAAAACGATGGATGCTGCTGCCACTTATGTTCAGGCGCACGGTCATTAGGTACTGATCCTTGTTCACCTCTTTGCTCTAAATAATACAGGCACTAAAGATGTTCCGGGTTCTCCAAAGATGCTATCAATAGGACATCATCAGAATTTATGTGCAAGCAACCAGACAGTTGGATGGCGTCCCTCCTAAAAGCCACATTACAGTTGAAAGCGCTCTTCTACTTGTGCTCATTCAAGTCAACTGACGACTTTCATTTTTTAGTAAACAGGAAAAAGCGGTGTCTTCCGCAAAATTCGCAGATGCCATATTGCTCATGGGGTTGCGACCCGAGAGTTTCAGTTTCCAAATACTAGGTTGGCAATAAACTTTTTGCGGTTTACAAACTTACCTATTTTGAACTGTAATAGAATGCATTTCTTTTTCATTCCTTTTAAATTGCATGTAAACTATTAATTCGATAATACATTTATTGCGGTTTTTATTTTTAAAATTTATACACTCATATCTTGGCTCAAATGTAAACGTTTCACCCGAAATAAAAACCGTTTAAATTGACACAATTGTGCCAACGGGAACCAAGTTTATTTATTCTGGATGAATAAAATTCCTTAGCACTGGTTGCGATGAAATGGTTGAAGGCGGTTCCAGCATCTCCTTGGGTTTCAAAACTTTTCTCTCAGAGTAAGTTATTCGGGTGCTTGTAAATTAGTAAGATGCAAGTAAGAAGTCATAGAAATATGTTGCGTGAAGTGAAGTTACGTTGCCCAGCTCGTGCAGCGTCCGCATGGTTGTTTGTGCGAAATGCGGCCCAGCGTTTTCATGGAGAAGAATTGGCCTGTTTCCTTGAAAAGTGCCTGGCACCAGCGTTGAATTTTCGGGTGCATTTCGATAATGTGATAGCAATGATTCTCCGATGTTACGATTTTCCCCGGAATTCAGAAATCTGCGAGGGATCAGACCAGTCGCAGACTACCACACATTCACCATAACCATTTTTGAGTGTAATCGATCTTTGGAAGTGTTATGGATCTTTTTCGCATGCACACGTGCAATAAATTTTTAAGGGTCTAGCCCAAGGAATCATGCATTTGGTCCACAGGAGCGCCTGCCTTATTACTGGAAGATGTCTGCATCAGTTTCTTGTGTGTTGTATAGAGGTTTGTGGGGCATAACTTGGTTGTGAACGAGTTCAATCTGGGACATGATGGGCGATGCAAGAGATTTGCACTTAAAGACACCACGTCCAATTCCTGAGTCGACATTTGGTGAGAGACTCTATTTAGTTACTTCAGTATGCGCTAGGTCTCCCGACAGCCGTTACTTCACGGCATGGTCTGGAAGTACAGATGTTGAGGACGTCGTCAATCTTGCTTAAAGGATATGAAAGATCTCACTGACCCAGGTCTTTAGAACAATCTCTCGATCCTTGAACATCGGCGCCTGTGAGTTGAAATTTTCAAAGCGTACCCGATGCTGCGGAAGTCTAATCAAGCCAGCTACAGTCTGTTACAGCTAAGCCACAGTAGAAACTGGGAGGCTATCAGCTGAAATTGTCCACGCCCATAAGAATATATTTTATCGTAGGCAAAAGGTCCTTTCCCTTCGCGTATTGCAACTACGGCCCTCGACAATGTGCTATCCCACTTGCATTATACGATGCATTGCGTTTCTATCGGACGGGAAAATAATGAGAAGCACTCTACTCAATAGATCATTCCAGAACACAGAAGCTGGCAAACATGCATCTGTGTTTAAATGAATCGCTGGGCAATTCACCTAAAAAGTTCCTGTTGGCACTTGTACCTTTGGTTCTGTGATGCTACCTCCGGTTAGTTATGCGGAGCCCGATGAGCACTTGAATGTTACACAGGATAAATTAATGCCCACTGCTAATATTAAAAGAAACGTTGACTCTACTGAGATTTCATGAACTAAATCCTTAGGTGTCATGCTTTACAAGCCCCCGCAACAAGTTTTTCAATTCAACTTCACACTTACTTTTCACAATAACTTGCACTTCATGGTGGACACGACCCATCGATGACACAGCTACACATGTGACATTTATCGACTCGGACAAGTCGAGTAATAGTATGCGCGCAGATCCTGGTGTATTTTGCTCAGCCTGTTCATGTACCAATCGCCGATTCGCATGGTACCAATCCACTCTGGGTGCAGGAGCTCCAACAGCAGTACAGGTGAGTGCCAGTCGTCCACCAGGGGGGACAATCTGTCTGGCTGGCGGAACTTTAGTGAAATGTGGACGAAAGCGTTTTGCTAAAAGGAGGAAACACGAAAGTAGATGAGTGGTGCAAGCAGGTAATGTGAACTACATTTCAATTTGCTCGAGGTACTGGGTTCGACAAGGGTATGCATTCGGCTATATGGCGTTTCCGACACCGTTCGCTCGTGTCGCTTAGTTTCCATATGGATAACGAACCGGTTCAGATACGTGTGATGTGAAGAAGGCATTGTCTTTGGTTCTCCAGTCAGAACGGCACAATGCATCTGGGTTTCACACGTATATCTGGTTAAATATTAACTCTAAATATTGATCGGAGTTTGAAAGTAATATTCATGCAGTATAAGGAGATGCTTTTCTGTATAATCCGCCATCTCCGTGCTTTGTTTTGTGTATGCATGTCAAAAGGGAACTAGCAAACTTTTTCTGAATATATTGGAATAGGATCGTAGACTGCAATGAAGAACAATTCAATCCAAGGAAAATCAATCGTCATGCTGAAAGTAGCGACAGTCTCATAACTTCGGTGTACTGTATTAGAAAGCTTTTACAAATAGCTTTGAAGGTAAAAATTCTCTTTGCGATTTGTACCACAACCAGTTGTATTGACTAGCTGTTTTCAAACAGACACCTGTCCACTTATACTGAATGAAGTAGATTGAGCCCAAGGGAAAAATTTGCTGCCTTTACTTCGATCACATTATATGAAATCTACTTAACTAACAAAAGGATACTCTACTTGCTTAGCTCCGTTTAGTCTAACCTTCTGGTTCCGCGTCATAGTTGGACTGTCATTTCAATTGCTGAATTCCATAACTACCAGTCCTGGGGTCGCCTCTGTCATTTATTTTTACTAGGGAAAGTAAGCGTGTGACCATGTATGAATACCTACCGTTAGCAATTGATGTTCGGAGATGGCTTACATTTATCTACCACCTATTTGGGAATCGGTTAAGCCTAGGTTCCTGACAGAGTCAAAAGCTAGACGCGCTCAAGACCACACAATGAGGAACTATCAAAAAGATCAATAACATGCTCAAGCTTCCATAGCACATAAACTAGGGGACCTGCCGTTGGAAAACAGTCGGTATCGCCGCTTATTGGCGAATTCAATTTGGACTACCAAGTTATGACATAACTCATCCAACTTTTTCGCCACCTTTTACAACAGTCACAACATGAACGGAAGATTTCAACAGCTCAAGCTGACCACGCAAAAGAGTTAGCTGGGATGTCACTGGAATCACTTTCATGTTTTGTGAGTGTAAGCCAAGGAACACCATTCCTAATTACTCACGTCCCACCTTCCCAAACATGTGTTCATGAAAATACATGACTTTGTCCTAATACAAATGTAGTAGGAATAATAACTTGTGTACATCGGACGAAGACAAAGTTATAAGCGGTGTCCGAAACAGTATCACCTTAAACATCACTTTGTGTACACGGTGGTGCGTTAAACTAAAATGCTTTTATTTTTCCGCCGTTTTCGTTTTCTGTTCATGTCTCGAATCCCGACCAACTCAAGGGACTTGTTACCTACTGAATTTGCATTAAAAACGCTTTTTTCTTTTTCTCAATTAACCATTTTGATTGTCATCAATACAGGGACCAGGATGAATGTCATGCCTGGCATTGCATTAAGATAACAAACTTGAATATAAGTAGGTTGTCCTTCCGGAACTATCATTTGCGACATATGGTTGGCCGCATTTGGTTCCGTATTTGCCTGTCACTGCGGCCTCCATAGGGCATCCACAAGACACCTGCTCCTACATAGGGACCATGGGTGACCTAATTTGCACAACCCACAGCTCCAACCACACAACCCATCTTCAGTGTAAACCGAAAAGAATAAAACCGGGAGGCATGTGGATGAGAGCCAGTTTTCATCAAAGCAGCCGGCCCACACTCCTTCAACATGCACGGCATCAGTAGTCCTCATGTGTACCAAAAATACACAAGGCGGTGTCTGGGCCGTAGTCTACTCCACACTGGATGGAACGACTCTTCGAGCCTAGCACGGCCACGAGAACCTGGCACACCGTCCACCTAGACAGGTAGGCACATTGTAAACATTCACATCAAGCGCAGGCATACCGGAGATATCAGCTAACCGATATAGAATTTGAGGGAAAGCAAAGGGAAAGCAAACATGCAATACTGACACAGAATATGAAGCAGAATAATGGAAATGAACAAAATAAAGAAAGAGGAATGAATATTATGAATGAATATTATTCAGATTAAAATGCTATGATTTGAATGTAAATCGGTTTAGTTTACCTGTGGTGTCGACGCATCAGGAATGAAGCATCTACTTCAGCATGAGACAACTGACCATAAGATGTCTCAGCGCAAAATGTGCTCTCCCGCTATATATATATATATATATATATATATATATATATATATATATATATATATAGCGGGAGAGCACATGGTGCGCTGAGACATCTTATGGTCACTTGCTGACAGACCGTTGACCCGCTGCTGCTAATATGCTCTTGGCTGATGTCAAGTTTATCGAAAGCTTTGATTGAGTACCCTAGTCATTCTCCTGTCAGATATTGACGCTTTGCCACTATTTTAGTCCAAAGCTCCAAACATGAATTACGACACTACTAATAAATACATGCTGTATCTGTCGCAGCCTAGTGGTACTACCAAAGTGTCACCTTATCGACTGCATACAGCGGGGTGGAGAAGAGAAAATATGCAACTGCTGACATGAAACACTCTGCTTGGATGATGTGTTAGAGAAATCCATATCACGGCTGCGTACCTCAGCGAACTACAAAAGAAGCGACACGAGAGTGTAGAAGGTGGTCCTTCAGTTAAAACATATGGTAGCACCACTGCTAAAAAGATGGTACATTTTCCGTTGCAGGCTACCATCTAAGCTTCGGCTGGATTAAGTCAGCGATATGACTCCTAGAGATTACTTATCAAGCAAAGAATCAAACGCGATGGGATTTATTTATATAAGAAAATTACACCAGTATTGTGTCGAATGAGCCCATACTAACTGAAGAAGATGGTATTAACCAGACACCTTACACTGCACGTGGAAAATTAGACACGGGACTAAATACGCGGATGATGAATAAGACGTTAACCCTCAACCAAGTAAACATCGAAAGAAAGATTAGTTTCCGGCCACCCACTGGTCAGCGAAACTTCACGTATGAATAGCACAACACCCGAAAAAGTGCTTAAATCTGAGCAGCTTTCATGTATGTATTCTAAAGCCCAAGGGGTCCTCACTGAATTCAACGAACTTCGGCTACGTCAAGTTGGGAATGCTTTGGAACTAATTTCTATTACCGAAACTTGGTTAAACCAACTGGTGACTGCTGCAGAGGTTGAGATAGCCTGAATGTCACCCATGCGGAACGACCACCACAGCAGAGCAGGTGGAGTCCTACTCTACTACCGCAGCGAGCTGCAACGTACAATAGTTGATGATCTAGAAACTCACGTTACTGACTCGCTTTGTTACTTTCTCCGAATAAGACACAACGGCGCATGTCTCATAGTTATCGTTTACCGCCCCCCAACATCCACTCTAGAAATGGATTCCCGCTTGATACGTGGTTTGAACAGAGTAACACGCACTAGCTCCAGCCCCATCCCCATCTCCGAGTACTTCAATCTACATGATCATGGGGTTTAGGCATCATCCATTGAACAGTTCAAAGCAGACATGCATTAACTGATTGCTAATATTCCCTTGTACAATAACGTCACCCCACCCACTTCATTCAGGACAGCAAACAAACCGTCCATATTGGACCTTGTGCTCACGAATGAAGAGCTCACCGTTTACTAGTAATTGATGCATAGTCCATCAGGTCTCAGTGAACATTTAGTAATAACATTCAACTATGCGTTATGCAGAGTATCCATCTGGACACCCGGAACTAACTCATTCAATCACACGCTACCACGTGATGCAAGCATTCGTCGACGCAGCTGCTTTTGTATTCTCAAACCACAGTCCCCCCCGATAACGTTTGGACAGAGTTCGTTGATAGATTCAGCGACATCGTCAACAGAGCTTCAGACACCAAGCCCCTTCGTCCCGCCAAGATGCCTTCAATTCTAAGAAGCAGGACCCAAAAATACCTGGCGATAAGGGGTACGGCATGGCGTGCCTACAAGACTAACCCCGACTCAGAGACTTGGAGCAATTTCCTGACCCATCGCAACCATTGCACTGCACTTGTCCGTGAGGACAAAGTAACGTATTAACAGTGCCTAGCCAAACATTTCATGACAAACAACAAACTGCTATGTAAGCAAATCAACAATCTTCGTAAAGTGAAACATGGAATCCCTCCACTTTTCACGACGGGCGGTAGAGCAAAAATCACCGAAGAAGTAGCTACTGCCCTGCGGCTACAATACGCCCCAATTTTTGAACTCGCAGCCACTACCTGTCCCATAATATCATGCACATTAGCGCCTCTGTTGTTTAAACATGCAATTTTCAGCCCATCATTTGCGCTGAGGAATTCACTCTCACTGCGCGATCATAATTCTCCGAGAGCCGACAACATCCACCCGAAGGCACTGAAGGCTGTGGTCAACAAGCTAGCTGAGCCACTGACATAGTTCTTCCAAAGGTGCTTTGATGAACAATAAATCCCCACTATGTGGAAGAGTAGCATTATCACCCCAAATTTAAAGGCGGTAGCCGTTTGGAGTCTTCAAACTATCGCCGTGACTCTCCTCCCTGTTCTCGCGAAGGTGATGGAAGCGGTCGTCGCTGAAGCTTTAGTGGACTAGCTAGAAAAATGAAACATCTTGGTACCGGAGCAGCATGGCTTCCGTCAACACCGGTCATGCTCCACCAACCTACTGATTGCAAGAGGTAGTTGGGCGGAAGTAGCAGATTATGTGATCGGAGTTACCGTCATCTATCTGGACTTCTCCAAAGCTTTCGACTGCCTTGATCACCGCATCTTACTTCACCGGCTACAGAACTACGGAACCGGAGATCCTGTACTTGGTTGGATTGGCAGCTTCCTTC